TCCGCCAGACCAGAGGGACGAGGCGCCGCTCACCAGATAACTACGTCGCCGCCGCCAGGGGGCCGTGCCCGCCGCTCCGGGTGTCCCCTGAGCGCCCCCCACGCCCTCTGTGCGCCCACGTTCCCTGTGCGCTGCCCGCTGCTAAAGCTGCCGCCAGGGGGCGCCCCGGCGCGGGAGGTTGAAGGGAACCTGCGGTAATTGGGGGGAAAGACCTGGCGCGAAAGTCTGTCGGGCGTCCCCTAAATATTTCTATTTTTGTATTTGCTACCCAGCCACCTCCCCTTCTCTAAGTATGTTTCCCGCCGCCCAGGCTGCGCGTCCCGCCTCTGTCCTGAGCTCTTGGTCTCCCCGAAGACAATCCCCTCTCTCTCAGACCATTCCTCTGGGGTCTGGGGCCCTGGCTGTAAGCCCTCAGGCCCGGGTTACTCGGCTGAACCACGTGGCCAGAAGCAACGGAGAACCACAACAAAGAGAGAAGGGAAAGGTGTGCGCTAGTGCTTTGTGCGGGAGGGAATGTCACCCCCGAGGTTCCTGCTGCTGCTCTTTTTTCTTTCATCCCTGTTCTTTTCTTTAAACGAGAGTAAGGGAAGGTGGCAATTTTTCTCTTAGCCTGAGCTTGTTAGGCGCCCTATCTGAGGAGACTGGAAGAATGGAGGTCTGAGGAGAAATGTCAGGAGGGCGGATGGAGAGCGCTGGCTGCTGCGGGTGTTTGTGAGATTTTTTTCTGCGTGCGGGAGCAAGGCCGATAGGACTGTGGCCGCCTTCCTCTGGAAGGACAAAGCAGAGGTGGGAAGAGGTGGCGGCCTCGCCTCCTCTCTCTCGGCTCACCACCATTCTCTTTTGATTTTTGGTTTTGGATGGAGGCGTCTTGTATATATATGCAAGAAGTTATGGCTAATGAGGTTGCCACAGCCTGGCCAGGGAAGGAAAGGGAAACGAAGGGAAGGGAAGGGCAAGTTTAACAGATCGCTGGAGTATTTGAAGAAGCGTTTTCAGCTCAGTTTTTCAACTACCGGGTTCCACCCCATCTGGGAAATACTTGAATCTCTAGATATATGCTATTATCCTGAAGCATTTCCTCAGACACTTTTATGAGTTCAGACTCTATTCCCCTCACCCCTTTCCCTTCTCGCTTTCCTATTCCTCTGGTAAAATGGTTCTTGGCATATTTCTCACGCGTGTCTATTGCGCCTTCGCCTCTGCAAAGCCACCGCTGCGTTGTTGAGACCCGTTCTGCCAACCCCGGCTACTGGAGGGGTTTCCTTGAACTTGCAGAAAGGCACATCAAAACCCACCAGTGTTAACTGCCACGTCAATTTTGATGCTAATAATGTGCAGATTATGACGAAAATTGCCAATCATGCTCTCTGATGGACCTCCTTTGAATGTGGAATTGGAGAAAAGTTCCCCGCACGGAGACCTGCTGTCAAGTACTAACAACCCGCTAAGGGAAGTCATTAGGAGAGACGGATAAGAGACTCGGTACATAAAACATTGTTCTTGGTGCATAGAATGTATGTTATTTAATGTTATCTCTGTTACCTGAAGTGATTTCGCAGAAGAAAGCCACGTTCTTATCATCTCAATTGCCAATTTTCATTTTGGTAACTTGGACGCCCTGGGTAGACTTTTCTCTGTTAAGTTGATATTCCACCAATGTGAACAGCCTCATTAAATCAAGCCCAGATATTTCCATAATGCTCCCCGCAGAGCCACTTCGCTCCTCACATAATGAGATTTTCTGAAGAGTTGAAGCCCTAAAATAACTTGCTAGTGCATGTTTAGACTCAGTGAAGTGGGTGTGTATTTAAATGTAGGTGTGCTACCTACATATTTGTGTATGTGTGTGAATATATGTATGTATATATGTATATACATATATATATCAGTTCTCTTAAATACATACACATGTAAGAGATACACACACATCCACATATACCCATTGGCACAATTTTCTGTGAGTTATTTCAAATTTGTGTTCTGGCATATTTTTACTTTAAAGACACTGGATTTGAAAATTCATTTTCTAAAAATAAACTTTCAGGCAACTTTTTAAAGAATTCACTTTCCAGGAGAAATTATTTTCATCAAATGGAAAATATTTCAAGGGGAAACAGCATTTCCTTCTGGGGTCTATTAAAATATTCCCATAAAATATTAGAGAACTTTCCAATGAAATAATAATGATCTAAAGCTAAACTTTTTGTTTTCTTTTTTTTCTTTAAAGAGATGAGACTACTTATGTTAAATATTGATTATACCAGCTCTTACTGAGTTTACATGAAAAATATTAATATATAATTTAAGGCTAAATAAAATAAACCAAAATATGGTACCCTTTATCAGCTTTACCTTTGTCGATTGTTAATGTCCTTTCTTATGATCAGCTATTAGATGTATATAAAGTACTTTAGGCAATAATGTTTACATTTCCCTCCAAAATATATATGATTGATGAGAACGCTGGTTGGTAAAATTAACATAAATTCATCTTATGTTAGGTCCACTGGATCTGATTATTATATTAAAATAAAAACTGTAAATAAAGTCTTTGTGCTTTAAATATTGCTGGCTGTATGAACTCACTGTAAGATATTTTACAAATGTGCAATAATTATAAAGCTTTGTATATTACGTTATTTATTGTGTTTGGTCATGTAAAATAAATGTTATTTAAATCAAAGCGATTTTATTTGTTTAAGAGATTGCAAAACGGTGCGTGCTGGTGTTTGTTTTTAACTGTGGCATCCAAGGTTATGAAAATCTCTTAAAACAACATATTTAAATCCATATAATACACATATCAGATGGATTAATTCATTCTAATCATTATTTTTACAGCAAATACATTACTCATGTTTATAGGAGACACACACTCCGTCCAAACATTGGTTTAACGTTAATTGGCTGGCTAAACAGATAAGAGTGTTTAGGAGTAGAGTGTGTGTGGATTCGAAATATAAGGACATGCCGGCATAGATGCAGGGAATGTATATACAACTTAGGTCTGGGGGCTGTTTATGTTTTCAGTACTACGAAAGTAAACAAAATTAATTCCTCTGTCTAATTAACTTGTCCGTTTTTGATTCTCCACTTATGGAATATATATTAATTTTTTATCCAATGTACAATTCTACATTTAATAGGCCCTTGAAAGTACCAAACACGCTCCCTTCTCCTGGCTCACCCTCACTCACTAGCTTTGTCTGCTTTGGCCTCCTTTCAGGGAGTAGCAAAATCTTTAAAGTCAAGTAATGTTTCTATGTTACCTGCTGCAAACATTTTATCAAATTGGCTATGAACATTTCAGGCAATTGGATATTTCAAGGTAGGATTTCCCCCTCCTCTTTCTTTTGCAATTTTCTGTCTTTTTTTTTTCTTTCCCAATCCATGCTCCTTTCTCGAGTTTAATCCGCCTCTTCGTGTATTTACAGATCTGCCTTAAAGTCGATATTTCGATGGCAAAATGCAAGAGTCAATGGTGTGTGCAAAGTGGTCTATTTCTATTCGATTTAAAAACCAAGATGTCCCTCAAAATTTTCTTTTCCCAACTGCTCACACCGGCATTAATTACAACGACATGGACACGATTGGGAATACAGAGGCTGCAATCACAAGCCATTTTGGCCTGTAATTTACCATTATTATTGCATTAGCTCTAAATGATACAAACTGATATCATCTTTAATTGCAGATTGGTTAAATATATACTTGAGTAATCCCGAGGGTTCCCTCCTCCCCACTTAAGTTCTTTTCTCTCTTTCCTCCTCTCTCTTTTCTTGAACACCCCCATTAAAGAAATACGATTATAGCAGCACATTTGGACTGGTGATGTATCACCCTGGTTTTCGGTGCTCTTTGCTAACTCGGGGGTTGTAACCCTTAAAAACAAAAGCATTGAGATAGATGGACCAGCAAACAGAAAAAGACAGTGGCCAAAAAACCCTGTCCAAAATAACAGCATTTTTTTTTTGTCTCTAGTGTGCAAAGAATGAAAAAATAATTCATCATAAAATGCAGAAGACTGTCTGTCATCAAGCTCGAATTGTTTTTGACAAGAAAATAAATCTGTAGGTTGTTTAATATATTTTATATTTTCTTTATTTCGTTGCTAATAGAAAAACCAAATTAAATGTCCACCGGCGAGATAGAAATGCAAAGATCGATGATCCACCCCCCTACTGTCCAATCACCTCTATTTAATTGACTGTATTTTCTGGGTAATTGAACTGCTTGTTGTAAATTGAAGATTTTATAGAAACGACATGAAAACTACATTTACTGACATTCATCGCATCTTTGACATTGATTATCTGATCAACGCATGTCACGGTAACCTCCAATTCTTCATTACACACTGTTTATGAGCTGTTACAGAACAACTTGCTTGTTCCAGGGTGATTGATTGCCTTATTAACGCGTGTTCTTGTAAGTGTGACCGAACTGATTACGATGCATATGTTTAGAATAATGTTTCATTTAGCTGACTGCGAGTAATGCAGGGTGACAGCTGCTGCAGGGAGGACAAAAAAAAAAAAAAAAAAACCTGAACTACAGGGCGCGTTTGTGACCAAAAAGCGCAAGTTATTTAAGGTGGAACAGACCATCTCCAGGGGAAGTAAGATTGGGTGTGCAGCCTCCCAATCCCTCTGAGGAAGCTTACCCTGTCATCCTGGGCCTTCCAAACTCAGTTTGATATTTTAGTACCTTCTGCAATTAGTTTATGGAGACTAGAGAATCTGCAGAGTTTTCTCCCCTTATTTTCCATTTTCCACAAATTGTATTCACTTTGCTTCCCAGAATGCCTGGATTTCCTGCCCTTTTTGGTGCAAGAAAGAAAACCAGGCAAAAATTTCTACCTATGTATAAGTCTACTTACATACAGCCCCAAATGATCACATCTCTCCACTTTTCTATAGATTCTAGAAAAAGTGTCCTTTCAACCCCCGTGCACTGAATCCCCAAAGGAAAGAGGTAACTTTTTTTCCCTTAAAACTTGAGTCTTTTTCCTGGGCTTTATGAGCAAAGAAAGTAATCTTACTTCTCAGGGTGTTTTCCTTTGCCAGAAGTGGGCACGTTTTGTTGTGAGGCTGAGCCTCTGCATGGCTCTCCCAAAGCCCAGCCAACAGAGAGGCCTGAGCCCAGAGATCCTGGAGAGCACTGTAGGCTCACATCATTTTTG